CGCTATCGCATTAGCGCTCGTGAGGTCGCCGACATCGTCTTCGACCGAGTCATGAGAGATCACGGCTTACCTCAGAGCATCATCTCCGACCGTGATCCGCGCTTTACCAGCACATTTTGGCGACGCCTACACGAGGTGTACGGATCCCAGCTCCGCTTCTCATCGTCTTACCACCCTCAGACGGATGGTCAGACTGAGGTCACCAACAAAACTCTTGGTAATATCCTCCGAAAGTCTATTAGGGATGACCAGCAGTGAGACTTTCACTTAGCCCACGCGGAGATTGTGTACAACTACGCTGTTTCGCCAGCCACGGGGATATCGCCATTCTATTGCGACCTCGGCTACCACCCTCGCGTACCCGCAGATTTCCTACGACCATCGTGGTTGCGCCCAGACACTCGTTGCCCTGCGCTTGACGACTGGATCGCCCACATGACGGCGATTATGAAGCGCGCACACGAGAGTTTAGCCGACTCCCAGACTCGCATGGCCGCACGAGCGAACCGAACACGAATGAATCATTCATTCAAAGTCGGTGACGATGTGCTCGTCGACGCACGCCACTTACAGCTCGAGGCAGATACGCTTCGCAAGTTCAGGCGTCGTTTCTTCGGTCCATGCCGCATCCTTCAGGCCGTCGGTTCTGATATTGCCGCTAGTCCGGTCAGCTTGCGTGTGAAGCTACCTGATTACCTTCGACAGGCTCGCGTACACGATGTTTACCACGTCTCCTTGCTGCGTCCTTATTGCAGACCGTCCGAGCGCTTCGTCGGACGCCCTTATGAGCGCCCTCCACCTATCAAGGTGGACGGTCACGAGGAGTTCGTTGTTTCCGACATCGTATCACGCCGAGTTACCGACGATACCCCTCCACGCATCGAGTACCTAGTGCGTTGGAAGGGCTACCCTGATGAGGAGGCTACTTGGGAGCCCCTCGAGCACTTGCAGCACACTAGGATGTTGGTGCGTGCATATGATCGTGCTCGTCGTGCTGAGACATCTGCTTCTACTCAGCCGACTGACCCTCTTCCTCCTCCTCCGGCTGAGGAGATTGCTGAGGACGAGCCCGCTCCCCCTGAGGCCGTTCCTCAGCCGCAGACGGTCGCCTCCGAGCCTCCACAGCGCACTCATCGTCGCCCTTCGCGTTACGGTGACTGACACTCTTATCCTTCATTTTTCCCCACTGACTCACACCATCAGGTACTCCATCATCATCTCTTCTTCAGGATGTCAGCGTTTTGCGGCTCTGCTTCGACATCGATTCCACTGCTACTTCATCGACGTCATCGACCACTTCGACGACTTCAGCTACTTTGGACGTGACTACTTCACGTCACCACCCTACACTACATACTCCCTTGCCTCTGTCGCATGATGGTTCTCACTTAGCTGGGTCTCTTTGAGTTTGGCTCTCCCTTAGTATCACATAGGCATTGGGACCGTAGCGTTATCTTGGCTTCCTTGCTCCCAAATCTAACTCCCTCTCCCAGTCGGTGAGTTGTGTGCATGTTACCCTCACCCACTGCCCTCATCACCCTAGCGCAGGCTATTGCATGCCTCCAGTTCGGCATAGCTCCACTCTATTCTAGGCTCCCCTTTTCATGGTCGACCCTGCATGGTGTCACCCTTTTGTCGAGCACTACCCGCCTTGATGGTCTATCTGTTAGGGTCTTTGGTTTTGTTTCGCTACCACTCTCCCACCTTGAGCCTGATGACCTATCCCACCTTCATGTGTGACTGCCCTTAGGAGTTTCGATTCTTAGCCTGCATTCGCCCCCTCTGAGACCATCCCACTCTTAGTGGTTCAGCGACATGACATTATCTTGTGACATATTGCTCTTTTCCTTTCAGCACCGAGGTCACTGCCTCCAGGACTTTAGGATTGTATCATAGTACATTTCATTTTCTGCTGTTAGCTAGGATATGTATACCAGACATTTGTTTTTCTTTGACATTATGTACCTTAGGATGCATCGCATGGACTCCGCATGGAGCTTGCTCCGCATCCTAGATTTCTCAGTTTTCTTTATTGCAGAGTTCCGCTACTTTTGCGGATAGCGTGTTTATGGCTCTTGCGATCCATTACAGGTCTGAGGATCGTTTAGCGGGCCTTCATCTGCCCTGGCCTACAGCCAGGGCCTATTTGGCTATTTGCCAGTTCGGCCTGTGGGACCAGGCCGTGGCCTGACCCCATAGGCCGTGTGCTGTTCTAACCCTGCCCAGTACCACTGTCGGTACCAGGCCAGTCTAGTCCAGTCAGTCAGTCTGCTGGGGGTATACCCCAGCAGTTGTCTGTTTTTCCTCATTCTTCACTTTTGCAGATCTTGGAGTACGTGCGTGTCGAGTCTGCGTCGGAGTTGCGCTGTCCCTTATAGCTCCATCTCTTTCTCGTCCTTCGTCCACCCTTCGTCTCCATCCTGTCAAGCCGCCATCCCGACGGGTCCGGCACAAGCATTACTTACTTCCCTACACAGGGGAAGGATTGACCTCCTGCTGATGAAGCACTTATCCTCTATTCAATATTGTGTGGTGATGATGATGTAGCCATGAAGTATTATCCCACCGAAGTACTATAGAGAAGCATCTGAGAACCATAGCCCTTGATCAACCATAGATCACCCCTCCCCAATCAAGGAATCAACCAAAAATGAAAACGATAAATCGAAACGTAATCATCAAACCCCTCATGGGGCCACATGATTAAGAGTTGAGGGCATGAGAGCTGGGAGCCAATCAACCCTAATCAACGAGGGGGAGGTCATCTATCCTTTTTTTTTTTTTTTTTTGGGACAAAGAGCTCCAATCTATTCGTGGGGAGCAACACGTGCTGGGAACCGGGCCCAGCGTCCCATATAGAATTATACAGATAATTCGAGAAATGATTTGAGATACCAGGGCCATTACCTGGCATTTGGCTAAGAACAATCTGAGAACTATGAAAAAGTTTGAGAAAATCTTGGATAGCAACTAACCTTTTTTTTTTTTTTTTTTCAATGGGGCCCAATGCCCAAGGCTGATATTACCAATAATAAGATTGAGGCCGGGGTCCTCACAGTCTACCCGGAGTGATCGAACCGAAACGGATAGCAACTAACCTACGGACCTAGTACAAGGTTTTTGCTTTGATGAACCTAAAAAACAAGAAGACAGGAAAAGGAAAACCACCCCCGATCCAACTCCTTCCCCGCACCGCAGAGGGAAGACTAATGCCCAGGCCTTCAGTCCTCGTACCAGAACTCGCTAGATCTCATACCCCCTTACTAGGGTGACAGGACAACCTCAACAGTCCCAGTACCTGACCGAACTAGTTCTGACGGACAGGAAGTGTCTTCCTCCCTCGACACCTTCCTTAGCTGCACAACCCCCAAAGTTACACGGTCACTACCCAGGCATCAGCTATGTTGAACAAGATGGTTATGCCTTCCACCCTCGGCATAGCTCCAATGGTCTCATGCCCCCCTTGGTTACAGAGCACATGCTCCAGCACCGACCATTGTCACCCCACCCCGCCCTTCTAATAGACCTACCACCCCGAACATCCATCCCTACTCTACCCGGGCACCACCTTACTGAAACCAACCCCCTTCTTCCTGCTTACCAAGTCAATTTTGAAAAGTTTAAGAAATTTTTGAAATAGGAAATTCAGGTTCTGACATACCCCCGGGACTCCACAACACATAGTAAGCTCACTGTGTGACCAACAGAGTTACTCCTTCCCACAAAAAACAACCCCCCTGTTCCTACACTGCCCCCACCGGGAGGCACTCCCTCTCCTCCCTGCCCCAGTTCGGAACAGCCTATAAATGGCCACTTCAACCTTCTAAAAGGCATACAATTACCACTAGAGTATACCTCCCAGGCTGAAGTTCCCCCTTCCTTCTGCCCCCCTCCAAGCAAGGCAGCCCTCTCATCCTCACACCCTGCTGTAAGCAGCCACCCCCTTGTCTTCTCTCCCCAACCGCCAGTGTTGATCCGACCCTAAATCAACCTGGCCCAGAAAAAGACAAACCCTCATAATACCGCCTCCCCCCTTCCAAAGGTAACACCTCCCCCCTTGTGCAACCTTCACGGCGAGGGGTTCCAACCCTAAAGGAGACCCCCTCCAATTCACAAAGCGAGACACAAATATACCATACCAAGATCCCAGCAAGCTCCAAAACCTAATTAATGAGAAACCAATCAGATTCAAAATTCTTACGACGACAGTAATCAAGACTAAGAAATAAGATTTGCAGATGTAGATTTATTCAAATAGAGGAGAACTGCGAAAACATACTCTTAAAGAATAGAAATTAGAAATTTAGAACCACAATTAAGAAATCTGTCTGTGACAACCTATTGGAAAGGAACATTTAAGAATAAAAATTCAAGAAATTCATCTAAGGTGTCCGATATTGGACTCACGAATGTCTAAGATCAAGAGTAATTCTGATCATAGTTGAGGTCGTCAGCATACGAATTTCAAAAGATGGGTTGAGGATGAGTTGTTCCATGAATTATGATTCTTAAGATACACAAGGGACTCATTGTTATAGGGACGCTGGACCCGATTTCCAGCAGGTGATGCTCCCTAGTGTCCCCACCAATAGATTGGAGCAAAAAAAAAAAAAAAAAAAAGATGAGATTTGATAAAATTTGAAAATCCAAAAAAGGGAAACCTCGCTCAGACAGCGAATCAGGAACTTATTAACCAGAAACAGATCAACACCAGAATCAGGAATTAACGATAAGGAAAAAACAATTAGGTGAAAAAAAACAAGCAGGCTATCATAAAAACAACCAAATCAGACAACGCTATTGAACCCGAAACCCTAAGATACTATGGGAATTTGAGTGATACTCATGATGACGGCCTCGAGAAGCTGTTGCGCGCCGATCTCCCGTGAGGTTGTCTTGAACAATATGAAATCTCCAACCCTCCAGGTCAACGCGAGACGCTCCACTCCCGCCATCTCCTAATCCAACTGCCAGACTGCTAGTCCGACCAAACTCATCCCCCGCCTCTTCCTGCGAGAGGAGCACCTTCTCCTCCCCATAGGCAGTGCTAGTACAGCCCCTTGGCAAGGTACACTGGACAGAAGAGGTACATAGGACACCGCCGCCTCCTTAGACCTTCTTGAAGGCGATTGTGTTGTGAGTGACAGCGTCAAGCCCGTCAACGCAGCCTCACAGGGAATTCGACACATGCACAATAATCCTCAAACAGTTGGATCAGACGAAGCAGGAGACGGAGAACTAGAGGCAGAGGCAGGAGAAGAGAAAACCCCAGACACTCATCCTTAATACACCCACTCTCTCTACTGTCCACAACTGCCGTTGCTGTTGCCATCACCGCTGCTGCTGCCGTCGTTGTCAATAACCCCAACTCCACTTCCCTTTCTCCTGCCTCATCGAAGGCATGTTCCCTCTCACCACCGATGGTAGCACTCTCTGCCACGACCTGATAAGAGAGCGGCATCAGGTCAACCCACCGCTCACCATCCCCCACCTTATACTCCTCACTACCACGCGTGGCATCACCACGGTTCGTCACACTTTCGGCTTGAAGTTCCCAATCTTCACAGATTGCACAGATCTTTGCATACGACCACGTCTTCTTCATCTTGAAGACCCTCATCATCGTCTGCACGGTTCGTCACACTTTCGGCTTCCCAATCTTCACAGACTGCGCAGATCTTTGCATAATAGTTGACCACATCTTCTTCGTCTTGAAGACCCTCATCATCCTCTGCCGGCGAGACATCGTCTACGTTGTCGAAAAGAATATCCTCCAATGGAATTGCTCCATGTTGTAACTCCCCCTCCAACTCTATCATTAACCCAGAAAGCTGCGCCCCTATAACAATTCCTCGTCGTTCACGCAGCTGGCGCGACCCCGTCCCGCACGTCACGGGCGTCCACGTATCAAACAGCAGATGCCACACGCGTCTGCCAAGCGCGCGTGCAGGCCTAGCAGCCGGGGAGCTCTCGTCCCCAGGCGCTAGTCTAGCCTGAGGGGCCGGGCCTCACCGGTCCGCCGGCATCAGGGTGCTAGCGCTAGCTCAGCCTCTGGCCTGGGCCACCTGGTGTCTATCCCACTCTGACCCCTACTTGCCACCTGACAGACCTCTCAATCCTTTTTTTTTGAAATTTTTAATTTTTTATAGCACTCTTGCTGTTTGGTATTGGAACCTCATGAACAGGGCACCTCACAATTCTACCGGGATTGCTGCAAATCAGGTCCAGCGTCCTATCTCGAGTATCAGACTGGAAATC